CGGCATGGTTGTATTCAGTGTGGAGTGTTGTTGTGTCAGTTGGAGCCATCTTTATCATTACCATCATCCACCTCCGCACCAGCCACCGTCAGGTACTTTTATTTCAGGCTTGCAGAATGCCTTTTACGCCTGGATTTAGTCCTTGTTTAGTGATGTTTGACATTTAGAGTTAGATTTTACTGAGCAATGATAATGCTGGCAACAGTTATTACTTTTTTCATTTTTATTGCAGGCAAATCAAACTTCTCCTCCTGCTCTCCTCTGATTGCATTTTAATGTCTCTACCTTCTAAATCTACACACTGTGACGTCTGTTATTATTCGCACTTGAGATAGTCCAGACTTTCTCTTTTCTTTCTTGCCCTCCACAGCGCACACACACACACACACGCGCCAGCTGTAAGTGGGCAACATGGTAGATGACAGTCTGAGTTGATGGAGAAAGTGCAGACCCTGGCTACTTACCAAACTGTAGCCTGATACACTTGCTCTCTTGCTAACTGGCTAGAGATGGTGGAAAAATTGAGAAGGGGAATACCATTGAGTTTAACTGATTTGTGCCTTTCTGGTGGTCTAAAAAGCGTCATCAGTATTTTATTTCCTATAACCAGAAGCTGGAAACAGTGATTGAAATTTGTCCGCTGATCGAAATGTGGCAAATTCAAATGCTAATGCCGGTGGGTTTTTTAAATGTTTTTTTTGCTTTTTTTAATGATTTGAACCTTTATTTATTCAGGGAAAGCTGGCAGTGCATATTTTTCTTGTCGTACCTACAACACATGGCAAGTCCCAGTCCCGTTTGCCTCCAGGCCACCGTCATCTCATTTTATATTGTTTTGAACCTCCATTAGAAAGCATTCTGGTTATAGAATAAGTTGAAGCAGAATAATAGTACGTTACAGAATCACAAAATGATTTGTACGACTTCTAAAATGACTAAACCTTGCTTTTCAAACGGCAAATGCTAATAATTTAATGAAATCCCCGGGTCAAGCCTCTTTCCGTGTGAGACTCATTTCAGCTGACCCACCTTGCAGTTAGTTTCCACCATGTGATCACCACACGTGTGTGTGTGTGTGT